GTTGTAATGTGACAAAATATGGAAAAGTTCAAGGGGTATGAATACTTTTGCAAACCACTGTATACTGGTTCAAGGGAAAATTGAGGGAAATTTGATTACCCTTTATATCTATATGCCCCCAATTTATAATCTTCACCTTTTGAAAAAAAGTGTTAAAAGTTATTTCATCAGTCACAAGGTATTTTAATTTGTGCAGGTGACTTTAATMCTGTTCTGAATAAAAATGGCACATCTAATAGCAAAAGAATAAATACTCCACAAAGTAAACTACTAGAGGGGAATGGACGATATTGGCTTACTGGACGCTTGGCAGGCGATGCACCCAACAGAAAAGGATTTTACATATTTYTCTCCCCCTCATGCAGTATTTTCAAGAATAGATCTTTTCTGGGTTTTTAAGAATGATCGACATAGACTAAGAAGCTGCAAAATCGGTACCAGAAACTTGTCAGACCACTCGCCAGTGTATTTAACACTTAACTTGGATACAAGAGAAAAAAAAAAACATTTGGAGGCTAAATACAAGCTTGCTAAATAATAAACTCCCTGTAGGAAGCACTAAATCTGACCAAACTTGCTGCAGAGGTAGATGGCAAAGGAAGGAAGTTACCCTGAAAATTTGGCAATCCTAAGTGCATGATTAAGCCCCTAAACGGCCCCACAAAAGCTGAGCAGTTGTGTTTGATGCAAAAAAATGTGGCGGGAGGAAAAAAATCATAACTCGGGCCCCCAAGGATCTAGAGAAACCAAATTTGAACCCCATGCACGTGGAGTAAGGGCAGTGGTACTGTAAAAGTTTTGTGCAAGTACTTACACGCTTAGGGGTCCAAAATAATAAAGTATATTCAGAAAATTTATTTTTTCAGGACCATAACTGTTTAAGTTCCTAACTCRGGCCCAGAAGGGGCTAGGGGCCCCAGATTTGAGGGGTGCCCACTTGGTCGTGAGTAGAAGAGCGCTATGGGGTCAACTCTTACATAACCACTTTTGAAAAATTTGACCCACTCAAAGCTGCCTCTGCATATGGGGCAAGGTTCAAAGTTCTGAACAGTGTTTGTCTGGTCAACCTGATTCCATTTTTGTCAAACTTGCGCTAGGAGGCTGATTGTTGAGTATGTTTTTCCTGGGCTCAGACCAAACGAAAAACACCAAAAACACCAAAAACACATTAGTGTGTTAACGGCTTGAAATTTAGTAATTTTTCACATTTATTGAATCTAACATACATTTTGACTTGACTGCTTTAAATACTTGTAGCCAGAAATAAAGACTTTTGTTATGAATGGTTAGTTAATTAATTTATTACAAATAGAAGTGTCAAAATTTAAGTTAACCTAAGAAAATGTTTAACACTCAGTCTCCCCTAACTAACCGACATCTGGTGATGAGCTGCAGATGGTTCTGAGCACGCTCAGTAATGAGTAGAAAAACTGTGGATTTCAGGTTTGGAGGTTTCTCTCTCGTTAGAAAAAAACAGCTCGATCAAGCCGAGAGCTAGGACTGCCAACGTTCTTCAGCCAGTGCTTCCTGAAACCATACAACAAGAATCAGACGGATGTTATGATATGATATGATAATATAATGATATAATATGATACTGTGATATGGTGTTATGATGATATGAAAATATGATATGATCCCTGTCTGGATTTGTGAAAAACCACAATAAATTCAGACATGGTTTTAAAARCCATTAAAGTTTTAGATTTTGAATCATTTCAGCTGAATTTGACGTGTGCTCATTTTGAGCAGATGGAAACTTCTAACAACAAATGTCTGGTCAGAAATAGTTCGTGTATGACATCGCAGGTCACGTGACTTACCCTGAACATTCCCAAAAATCTCAAAGTCCACAGAAGTGAATTTGTTTTCAGACATGGCAACAGTGAAGACGCAGCGTAAAAACCAGAGGCCGCAGCATGTTGCTGCTGTCGACTAAGTTATTTTTATTCTGCCATTTAAAACCACACTCAGAGTACCGTCATAATAAAAGCAGCTTTCTACATCAGTCTTCAAAATAAAAGCAGCTTTCTACAACAGTCTTCAAAATAAAAGCAGCTTTCTACAACAGTCTTCAGAATAAAAGCAGCTTTCTACAACAGTCTTCAGAATAANAATAAAAGCAGCTTTCTACAACAGTCTTCAGAATAAAAGCAGCTTTCTACAACAGTCTTCAGAATAAGAGTTTCTTGCAGTCAAACCTGTATCATCTGTTTTGGTCAAATGATGAATATTCCAGGTACTGAGGAGGATATCCACACAGAACAGAACAAACACTTCATTCTTACAGTTTTCATTAATAAATATGTTGAACAGAAGTTAGACCAGGGCTCTGAAAATGAAGGACACAGCAGCTCCTGAAGCCAAACCCAGAGCCAGGAAGAAAGCCATGATGGTTCCAGCTGTTTCTGCTTCATGGGGAAGAACATTCCTGCAGAACAATGGACTTGATTAAAGAAAGTTCATCTTAAAATACTTCATCTTATATACTGTACAGGCTCATCACACTGTCTCAGATATTTCATTTAAATACTGTTCAGAACCTCCAGCCCTCTGAAACACTTCATGTAATCCATTAAATCTGTTTTGATTAACACTGGTAAAACTTAATAAGTTTACCCCTGACATTCCAGATATCTGTCCGAAGTGCAATATTAATATTGGAACATTGCTGCATTGTATGTGGGAGTGCCCAAAAAATCAGATATTTTGGAAAAATATAGGTGATCTTGTCTGACATGTAGCTGCTATAAAGCAAAGTTCTGTATATTAACCATCCACCCTATGCTTTTGTACCAAGTCACAAATCAACACGTTTCATCGAACTATGTATGCTGCAGAGTAATGTGCTCGAGATGGAAAAGTATGGACAGTCCTACAACTGCACTGTGGCTTCATGGCTATGCAGAAACTGACACATGATACGAGGAAAGATCAGCAAATTTAAAGGAATATGGGACACCTTCATGCAATATTTAGAAAGTAACCAAGCTGTAACGAATGAATACAATTGAATTACACAAAAAAATAGTACCTAATAATAATAATAATTTATTTAACAAATATTTATTGTTATGGGAATGACACTTTATCTTGGCAGAGCTGGATGATTGAAACTTTATTTTATTTATCTGTATATTTATACAATTATATGGATTTTTGTATTTTCTACTTTGCATTTTTTGCTCCTTTCTTTAAAGTTTGTGTTTTTTATTTATTTACTTTTTAATACCCTGAGTGCAAT